ATTTATAGACAGAGGGAAAGGAAGGGAGAAAGAGAGGGACAGAAACATTGATTTGCAAGAAAAACATCTAGCAGTTGCCTTCTGTACATCCTGCCCCCACCCCAACTTAGGACCTGGTCTGTAACACAGGTATATGCCATGACCAGGAATGGGACTAGCCACCTTTTAGGAAAATACTTGAAAATGTTAATTTGATTGTTTGATTACTAAAACTTCAGAAACAGAAAATGTTTTTTTAAATGAAGGGTGTTTTAAGGATAAGTTATTCTCCACATGGACCTTTAAATGATAAAATATGGACACGGGAACAAATAAAACAAAACAAAACAAAACAAAATAAAACAAAACAAAACATGAGCCTTTATCAAGAGATAATCCAATTTACATCAGTAGCTATCTCATCCCAGCTGCAGTCTTATATTTATTCAAAAATATTTAGTGTCTACTATACACCGGGTCCTCTTGTAGGTGTTTGGAATATATATATATGAATGAAAGAGATTAAAAATTTTGCCCTCCTAGAATTTGCATTCTAGCAGAGTAAGACATTTGTTTATATTAAAAATATTAAAAATATAAACAAATAAGGTTATAATTGATAAGGAAAAAAATGAACAACAGAGTAAGGGGGTAGATCACAAATGACTGTCGAATACACACAGGAGTGAGATTGGTTATTGCAATGCTTTAAATAAGGTCATGAAGGATTCACCCATTGAGAAAGTGAAACTTCAGCAGAGACTTAAAGGATTATCCTCATGTGTATCTATGCGAAGAATAGCAGAAACACACCTGGTGTATTCTAAGGTTCTGTAGGAAGCTAGTGTAGAGACAGAGGAGAAAGTGAAGAGCAGAGCAAGGAAGCGTGAACTGAGAGAAATTGAGGGTCTGATCATTAGGGCCTGCGGATCATTGTCAGAAATTTGACTCTTTTCCTAAAATGAACTTCCAGTGACTGCAGGATAATGAGCAAGGGGATGACCTCACCAGATCTACATTTCGACCAGTCCCTTTGGCTCCTGTGTGAGGACAGAATGTGGGTGGGGAGGGGGAAGGAAAAGCTGAGACACTGCTATGAGCTGGGACATAAATGTTTACGCAGCAGGTCGTCAGTGAATTAATTTCCTTTACTCAGGGATGACACCTGGGGAAGCAATAAATTCAGTGAGAAGTCTGATCTCCTGTTAAACATGACAATGACAGACCTGGCAATGAAGCAAAAGAGTTAAAGGAATTCATCATCACCAAGCCTTATTATATGAGATGTTGAAAGGACTCATCTAAGAAAACAAAGATGATGAAAATATGAACAGTAAAATGACAAAAAACTGACAACTATCAACAGCTGAAAACAAAATAAAAAACAAAAACCAAAGCAAACTAAGTAAACGAGTAGAACAGGAAGAGAGCCTCAGAAATGGAGATCACATGGAGGGTTAGCAACAGGGAAACAGAGGCGGGGAGAATGGGGGAAAAGGTACAGGGAGTAAGAAGTATAAATGGTAGGTACAAAATAGGCAGTGGGAGGTTAAGAATAGTATAGAAAAGGGAGAAGCCAAAGAACTGATATGTGTGGCCCATAGACATGAACTAAGCGGGTGTGTGCTGGTGGGAGGGGGTAGAGGCAAAGAGGAGTAAAGAGGAGACAAATGGGGCAACCATAATAGTATAATTAATAAAATATGTCTAAGAATAGCTGTGCTAGGAGAAGAGTGGTTTCTATAAAAAGTTTTTGGTAGCATTTCTTACTTATTCTATGATGACTTTCAGTAAGCAAACCTGGAATATATCAGTTTATGAGACATGACACTCTGGATAACAGAGTGTAAATTATGTGACTCTAAAGTATGAAAAAGAACTGTTCCATCATATAAATGATTCTTTCTGTTTAAGTGAACTGACCAAATACTTCATTAGACTTCTCATCTATTTCTTGGAAAAATCACATTTTATAAGATAAAAATGTACATACGGAATCACTGAGGGCCCTAAAATTCTCTGCCCCACCTGCATCTCTTGCTTACTTGTAGCCTTGAAATTATTAATAAATGTGATACTGGATCAGTTCCCTAAATCATGGGAATCTCATTTGATAATCCAACTCTGAGTGTTGTTGCAGATGGCAATACTCCTGGCAAGAAACAGTGGCAGCTCATGTCCTGGGAAGAGCAACAGAAATGATGAATAATTTCAAATTATTGCATTTTTGGATCATATTCTACTAATGGGATGAGTGTAGATCATAAAATAAAAAGAGGATTTAATTATGACTTTAAATGTTTGGGTCAGACTTTTTTTCTTGAGATTTGTATCAGTCATGCAAGTGGTGAATGTAGTGGATATTTGAGTCCCTGTATCATTAACATGAAATGTGCAGGATGGAAGGGAGGTCTGGGGTGGAGATAGACACTTGATAGCTGCCATCATATTGAGGATATTTAAAGTTCTGACACTCGATGAGAAATCTAATTGAACTTATGTAAGCAGAGTAGGTAAGATGGTTAAGGTCTGAGTCCTTACAGAAGACACTGGAAGGCCATACTGAAGAGGAGGAACTGACAAAAGAGGCCATCAGTGGATAATCTGTGTGGTCAGAGGAGGATAGTGTGAGATACTGAGATCCACATAAGAAGAAGGAAGTATTCAACCATGTCCGATGTGGCTCAGAATTGGGTGATGTGATTTTTACAAAAGCAGTTTGGTTGAAGGCAAATACCACATTCAGTGATAAGCATAAATGTTTTTGTTAATAGGACACAATAATTAAGCTACCATGTGTGATGTTTATGTGAATATATATATTTAGTATCTTAGCTTTTAGTTGTCTCAGATATAATTTTAATATCCAACTACAGTTAATGAATACATTTGAAGTGCTTGGATTTCTTTCTTCAACCTGTTTTTTATTATGCTTACAAAAACACATGCTATCTTTTAAGTGACTTATTTTTTAGGCTGCCAAAATTGACTCATTTTTTACAAGACCCTCAAATCATTAAAATTCCCCATGTGAATTTTCAAAAGAGATCAAGAAAACTCTATAGCATATCACACTAACGGAGAACTCATTGAGACTAAAGATACTACTAGAGATAAAAGACACATGAGATTATAGAGCAAGGATATAGCAAAGTTTACATAAAGGCTCAGTTCTATATGCATCTTCTTCACATTGTATCTTCTCACTGAATGGTGGTATGAAAACGGAAGAATTTGGCAAAATCACAGAGTGTATGCATTCCAGGGGCCATGTGTATTACAGGGAATCAGAAAAAGGACTTCATATAAGGCCAATTTTCTCAAACATTCTTGCCAAGGAACCTCTGGAATTGATTACTTTCTGATCATGGTGTTTAATATTGATATTCACTTTGGTTTGTTCATTTAAGGACATGTTAAGGCCCATGGGTACTTACCTTATTAGAATGAATAGTTTATTTGGTTTATCTCTTTCTGCTAAGCATTATTCATGTGACTACTCAATCTAAGAATAAAAACTGAGAGTTTGGGAAAATATTCATCAAGGAGATACCACATCTAATATATCCAACTTAGAATGTTACACACTTATTTTAAGTTTTTTCTGTAAAAAAATGCCTTCTGTAGAGATATTGCTACCAGATTGAATTCATTTTCAGTTTTAACTGTGTGTGCCAAATGATGGATACCCTACTGAAATGACTATTTGAGGCACTACAGAGCTCTCTGGAGCACATGCCTGTACAGATGTGCTCCGACAGAAGAACAAAAGATGGGTGATGATTTTTGAATTTTCTTGGACCTAGTAGATATTTTATTTTTATTCACATCTATTATTTGTTTGCCTAACACATTAGATAAAGGAGTCATAAAATATACATACACACACTTTTTTCTTTTTTCAATTATCTTTTAAATTAATTTTAATTTTATTTTATGCTATTACATTTGTCCCAATTTCTCCCCCTTTGCCCTGCTCCACCCAAGATACCCAACCCCACCACACAGTCCCCACTCCATTGTTCATGACCATGTGTTTAAGTTCTTTGCTTACTCCATTTCCTATACTGTACTTTACATTCCCATGGCTATTCTGTAACTACCAATTGGTATTTCTCAATCTCCTCACCTCTTCATCTGTTTACCCACAATCCCTTCCCATCTGGCAACCATCAAAATGCTCATTGTATATATGATTCTATCTCTGCTCTTCTTGTTTGCTTAGTTTTTTTTAAATTGTTGATAGATATGTATTTCTATTTTACTGTTCATAGTTTTGATCTTCCTTTTCTTGAATAAGTGCCTTTAACACTGCATATAATAATGGTTTGGTGATGATGAACTTCTTTAGTTTTGCCTTGTCTGGAAAGCTCTTTATCTGCCCTTTGATTTTAAAGGATGTCTTTGCTGGGTAGAGCAATCTTGGCTATAGGTCCCTGCTTTTCATGACTTCGAATATTTCTTGCCAATTCCTTTTAGCCTGCACAGTTTCTTTTGATATATCAGCTGACAGTCTTATGGGAACTGCCTTGTAGGTAACTAAGTACTTTTCTCTTGCTGCTTAAGTGTCCATCAGTAAATGAGTGGATAAAAAAACTAGTACATGAACACAATGGAATACTATGCAGCAGAAAGAAAGAAGGAGCTTCTATCCTACATGAAAGCATGGATGGAACTGCAGAGCTAAGTAAAATAAGCCAGGCAGTAAATGACAAATACCATATGATCTCACCTACAAGTGGAACCTAATCAATAACAACAAAAAAAAACAAGTGAGCAAATTAGACCAGAGACATGGAAATAAAGAACAAACCAACAGTTACCAGAAGGGTAGGGGGAGGGGAGTAACAGGGGAAAGAAGGGGAAGGGTCAAGTCAAGGAACATGCATAAAGGACCCATGGACAAAGACAATGTGGGGGAAGATAAAAGTGAAAGGTGGGGGTTGGGTAGAGCAGGAGAGAGTAATGGGGAAAACTAATTGAAAAATAATAAAAACGTTTAAAAGGTTGGATTCTTATTAAATTTATTTGATCTTATAAAAAAATTTCTTTACCTTTAACCTTTGGCATTATAATTATGATAGCCCTGGAGTGGGCCTCTTTGCATCCATCTTGTTCAAGATCCTCGTGCTGGACTTACATGTCTATTTCTTTCACCAAATTAGGGAAATTTTCTCTCATTATTTTTTCAAATAGATTTCCAATTTCTTTCTTTTTCTCCTCTCCTTCTGGCACCCCTACAATGAGAATGTTGGCATTCTTAAAGTTGTCCCAGAGGCTCCTTACACTATCATCTTTTTTTTTTTAATTGTTTATTTTCTTCCTGTTGTTCTGATTAGTTGTTCTTTGCTTCCTTATGCTTCAAATCATTGATTTTATTCTCAGCTTCATCCACTTTACTGTTATTTCCCTGTAAATTGCTCTTATTGTGATTAGTATATCTGTCCTTTCTGACTGGATCTTTTTTATGTTGTGGAGGTCCTCACTAAGTTCCTAGTTATCCTTATGACCAAGTTCATTGATCTGCCTTTTCCAGGAAGGAGTAATGATTTTAATCTTGTTAACAAACAATTAAAATTATTTCATGGTAAAATCAATTCCAGTAAATTCATACCCATTCAGTAGATAGGCAGTAAAGAATTTTATCTGTTTAAACTAAATAGATAAGCAATTTTTCTATCAGATAAAAACCCAGGTGAGTTTTTGTTACAGGAGGTATCCAGTATTTAAGTATCTTCACTGCAGATACTGTAATGCATTAAGACAAAGTTTTTTACTTAGCTGATTAAAAAAATATTAATAATGTTTGTCAATAGTGATTATATTAGATAATGAGCTGCCAGAGAGAAAATTCATCTGGACTATGTAGGACATACATAGAGATAAGAAAGAAATAATGTGGTTTGGATTAATATATCTAATGGAAAGAAATGGCACTAAATTTAAAAAACATGTTGTCAGAAAAAAATTACCCCATGTACTATTTTCTGATTAAAATAATGAGGCTTTGTTAGCACAAATATGCATAATTATAGACATATCCTTATTACCTTAACAAGTATTATTGTAACAAAACTGGCCATTTTCATTATGTGGTAGTTGGATAATAATTACCACACTGACTATTGAAAAGCAGTGCTTTTTTTAATTCTTATTTTCTTCTTTATGTAGTGTTGTTAATAGATCTCATCTTTCCTCTCTCCTCTGACTTTTCTGTGAAAGGTATACAATAATAGTTTGTTTCTCTTTAGCTGATTTGATATTTTTACTTGCATATATCATCCCTCCTCTATTTTCTGCTTCAAATTCACCACTGCTATAAAATCTATCTGGGGAACCTATTAACCTTTTACAGAAAATGTATGTTCAAAAGACTAGGGAAACAATAACAACAATATAACTATGAACAAATTTGTATATATTCAAGTCTCACTTTTATATGTAAACTCTTAAATGCTGAAAGTAAAGCTATTGGTGTCACAAAATTTCAAAGCTGAGAGGGCACCACTACACACCTTTCCTCTTCTAAAATATATTCCTATAGCGACAGTATATTAGAGAGTTTTTAAAAGGCTGACTACAGTTAGTGTGTCAATGAGCAGTAAATCAAGCAGTTGTTGAAGTGTGTTAGAACATTTGTAGTGATTGTGCTTACAAGGCTTTTGCTTTTAAATATCATAACATGCATTGAGATCAGACAAAAATATACATTTAAAATTTTTTAAATTTATTTACTTTTAGAGGGTGGGGAAAGGGGAGAAAGAGAGGGAGAGAGACATCAATGTCTGGTTGCCTCTTGCACTCCCCATACTGGGGGCCTGGCCAGAAACCCAGGCACGTACCCTGATTGGGAATTGAACTGGCGGCCCTTTGGTTTGCAGTCTGCACTCAATCCACTGAACTATACCAGCCAGGGACTCATTTTTTAATTATATGAAAATTGGGTATACAATACAAGGGCTACTGCTGAAAAACATGCTACCACATGTAGTGTGATGGACACCATATTTAGAAATATTCTAAATAAAGCCAGACTATCACCATATTTCTAAAGAATGCACTCAGCTTTTTTACTTATTTCCATGTGCAAATTAATCTTTTATTATCCAACTACCATTTCTTTCCATTAGATATATTATGTGAGTGCCAAGTCTTCACGAGTGGATCCTTCAATAAAAGGTAGTTGTGCTCTGCCAAGCTCAGAATGATTTTTGAGGACTAATTGAAAATGCTTGTGTATCACTTAATATTACATCTGGTTTGATTAAAGCTCACTAAATGTCATATATTTTATTATTTGCAAAATAGTGATGAAAGCATGCATGTTAGATATTGATGAAGCCATTTTTCCTCTCTGGATGATGCCTTGGAACCAACACTACACCAGAATCTTTTTGCTAGATTTATGGGCTACCTCCAGGAATCACAACATAGGCCAGCGTTATTAGTATTCAAGTCCAAGGACAATAAGGACTTTGCTAGGTTAATGCAGGTGCCTAAATAATGTATATTTATTTTTAAAGAGATTCATCCCAAATTGCAAAGATGAATTCAGTGAAGTAGATACACAGAACCCATGCTACTTGTAGTTTCTCTCTGTTTTATATATCAGGCTCGAAATACTGGGTTTGCATACAATAGAGTGAGTTGTAATAAGATAATTCATTTAACTTCAGACATTAGTTTTTATGAATATAAGATGGCCATTAGTACACTTGAATCTCATTATAATCTTCATCCTGAAGACAATACACTGAACTAGATTTGGATTTTAGACTTTTTGCCAAATATTTATTCAGATTGGTATCCAAATACACTCACTCACATTAGCCATAAGTAAAATACAAATAGGTATACTGAAGAGTTCATTGTAATTAATGCTATTTTGTTTGTTCTTGATTCAAAAATATTTCAACATTGCTTTCTTGATTTTCTATGTATTTTAAACTAAACTTATTACACAAACTATGGAAATATCTAGGTGTCATTATAATATAATAATATAAACATTTATTTAATGTTTAGACCTTGTAAATTTTAAAGGGAAGAATAAAATATGGCGGATTATATTTTCAGATTTATGAGAAGTAAACTAAATATTTTTCCTCTTGCATATTTATTGGCAAATGATTTGTGTATCACCTTGCAATCATATTTCAACAATGACTTTGATGAGACACTTCCATTTTATTTGGTGAATGTCAGGTCAAATGCATCAAACAGGCTTCAGTGTATGTTAGTTTCACTTCCTGTTGTAAGTACAGATCTGAGGATCTATGGGAAATGTTATCATTATATAATACTCTTGCACTCTAAGAACACCTACAAAATTACTCTTCTCAGCTGAAACATGATGAGCTCCTTTTTATAACCAGGTTCAATCTTCCTTCCTCACGGAGCAGGTAAAAGGAAAAAGAGATATTACTCAAGATCAAAATTATGTGGGCTCCTGTGACCCATGTAAACCAGACCATACAAAGTGCCCATCAGGGAAATGTAAATTTCTCAGAAGCAACTAGATCACCAGACATAAAGGGACTTACAGATTTTCCTGCAGTGTCTACCATGCAGAAATGAAATATAAGTTTCTGGTCTTTCTTTTGTTAAACTATGCCTTTTTGCCTATTAATGCTTATACTAGAGTTCATCTAACATAGAGACATTGAAAAACATATGTTTTCTTTAATCCATTTAAAGAGCGAGAGGGAGAGAGCGAAATTAATTCGGTAAGGTTGCAGTGGGGGAAATTCCAACGTCCTGACTCTCTGTTTATACTGTATTCAGTACACTTCATATGGGCTACATTATGCATATGTAAAACATACTTGCCATATTAGTTTGAAATGTCACCACAGGTAAAATGTCAAAAAGGTTAAAAAGACAATGTGAGATTAACTGCAGTTATAATTTTACTTTAAAATGTCTCAGTTCTCTAGTGTTCACTGAAGTTTTATTATTATTATTTTAAAGGTTTCAAATTTTGAAACAGTAGCAGATCCAGCCAACCCCCTAGTATTATATGTAAAATGTGTGTATTTTTAAATCATATTCATTTTTCCACTAAATTAAATGATGCATGTATTATTTTAATTTTTTCTCAATGATTTAAAGAGCATAGATAGATGCCACTTCATGAAGTTTAAACAAGGACTCTCTAATATTTATCATTTGTTTCAATTTAAATAAGACTTCATATGCAAATATGGTTCATTCATTGATAAAAATCATGTTCAGTAAGTTGTATTGGAAAAGTCTTTGTCTATTCTCTTTATATATTCTTTCTCATTAAAGTACAAATTAAAGTGACCTTCCTTTTATTAGTTGGATCACTTTAGCGGAACTTGTTTGCTGGAGATCTCTGAGTAAGCTTATGTGCTATTATAACAGAGAGGCAGCAAGCAAGCTTGTCTCCTGAATATGATTAGAAACTGACTTCTGATGAAATGAGTAAGGTAAAAAGCATGCTCATGCATAGTCCTTAGGCCATGGCCCATAATCTGTACTTTCATCATTGTTACTGAATGTGCAGTGAAAACAAGAACAGAATATTTAATGTTATCTTGTCTTCCTGTTTTTTGTCAGTAAGTAAAGATGCAAACCTGTGCAGCTTCTCCTCAGGGAACCCCAAGAGGTGCATTTGTGAAGGAACTTAACCTTCCACATCAAGCGCCAAGCAGGCAGGGTAATGAGACCTTGACAGGCTACCAGCTGACATATAGGTTTTATTAGATTAAAAGCTCTAAAATGCCCATAAGGCAGAATGAGTCCTTGCATATTCTCTAATTCTAGAAGGCAGAGAATTGTTCTAGTCCATAAAACAAGTGTATGCAGCTCATGCCTGTAAATCTTTTTTTAATCAATGTTGCTTTCGTTTCTTCCTATTGTTTGGAAGTATATTTCCTTAAAGACATTAACTAGATGCTTATGCAATATTTCTCATCCAATAGCAACTTTTTTCCTTTGCTAAAAAAAATAAACTTTAAAGATTTGTAAGTGCTTGAAAAAATCTATGTTCAATGATGCACAAAATATATCATTTCAAGGAAATTACTATGTTTCTCTGAAAACTAAAATATCTCAATTGTTCTTTAATAGCATGCTTAAATAGTACCATGGTTTAAGATCTTTATGTTTGCTTAAAATTGAATTTCTAACTATTCATTTGTCTTAATATTTTGTTTCAAGTTAATTTTCTTTTTTTTAATTTTTTACTTGAAAAGTTAAGAGTTTTGGGCACTACACTTATATAGTGGCCCTCATTATGCTCGTGGTAATCAATAATCTAACTTGGTCACCAAGATTTTCCTCCTACTGTGGGACACTTTTTGCATAATCCTTGGGACTGTGACTATGATAGAGCTTACCCCCATGATTTAATGATGATATATGCATAGTTGACCTTAAAATAACTCATGATTTAATCACAGCAGACTTTTAAATGCAGAGTTTGGTCAGAAGGAGAATCAGATCAATGTGAGGGGGTAGCGGTTCCAGGTGAGGGAAGTTCACTTCATTACTGAGGTGGAGGGTCACATGGTACAACCCGAAGACAACATCAAGGAGCTGAGCTCACTCACCAACTGACAGCTAGAAAACAATAGAAACGTCAGCCCTGCACACACGGTGAAATGAATTCTGCCAACTCTCTGCACAGATTCATCAGCATGTGCCTTTTTCCCCAGCTCAGCCCCCCAGTGAGGATGTAGCTGACTAACACTTTCATTTCAGCCTTATGAGACCCCAAGAAGAACACCCAGTTAAAATGCACCAGACTCATGACCAGCAAAGATGGTTCAATTGTATATCCATATTGTTTTAAGTGGCTTAATACATGACAGTGCTTCTTGTATAGCAATAGCCAAATAATACAATCTCATATGGGTTGAAGAATTTCAGTGGATGGTTATTCCTTGAATTTTCTAAGCCATTTGTTAATTTAAAAGCATTAGTTAAAATATATTGAACACTTAATGCACCAAGCATTATATTCCTATTTGCATGGAGTTTCTAATTTGGTCTTTACAGCTTCAGTGTGAAATGGTTCTACTATTAACTCCCACTGTACAGATGAGGAAACTGAGGTTTAAAGAGTTGAAGTGTTTTCCTCAAGGAGAAATGACCACTAACTTTCAAATCCAGAATATAAAACTAAGAGGTGTGATGTCTGAGACCACATACATGACTCTCTCTTACAAGTTCTCAGAAACTTGGATCCTAGAGACCCACTCTGATTCTAAGAAGAACTATGCCAAACAGTTTGGCAAAGTCTGTAAACACTGGAAGTGAAACCTGTGACTCAGGGGCTTGTTAAAAAGGTAGAATTGTAAACCCAAACCCAGATCTTCTGGCTCAACATCTGCATTTTCTCAAGAACTTCAGGTGACTCATCTGCACATCAGATATAAAGGCGAATGTGAATTTCCTTCCTGACACTATGGCCTTAGGCTCAGCACTTCATTCTGACATCCTTATCATTTCACGCTTCTGTAAAACGAGATAAACCACCAAATTTTCTTTAACAATTAAAGCATGCCTATGTGTCAAGCATATTTTCTACTACTACTAACAACTTATAAATTATGGTTGCTTTAATTGTTAAAGGTTGCTTTAATATGGAGGTTAACAACAGAGGGTGAGGATGGAAAGTTCTCAGTGCTTCTGTCCCTCTGGAGCCCAGCAGGGACTCTATGAGGCACACTGGTTGCTTTGGGGATCCAGTCTCCTGGGAGTATGGGCAGGCCAGAAAATTCTGCAGTGAGATAGGGAGGACTCGGCAGCCCCACAGCCAACAAGTTAGCGCCCTCAGGAAATGGCAACGTGGACTTAGCTGTGTGCTTGCTTCTCTCTCCCTGAGTATGAAACCACACTGATGAATGACGTCTCCTGCTATTTCCCCATAAAGAGAGATCCCTCTGCACTGCTGAGACCTTTTTTCATCTGTTTGCAAACACTGAAGCTCTAAGATCAGAGACTGTGTGAACTGAAAACATTATTTTTACAGTTTTTTTTTTCTATTGGCTAAAATATACAATAAAAATCTAGTAATCACATATATATATATTATTTTAATTTTATGTATGTATATTTTATCTATATATACATTTTATAAAGAGAGACTTTGTTTTCATTTGTACTCTTTTAGAAGTATTTTTTTCTTTTTCTTTCCATTAACTCAACCATAGTCTTCCTGCATATTTAATCTTAACTCTGCATTGCTTCTGGAGGGTGGGGTTAATTTTTAAAAAAATTACAATAAATAACAATAAGCTAAAATCCATGGTAATTTCAGTAAAATCATATGGATGCTGTCCAAATGTAAACCACAATCAGAGAACGAAGTGAGACAATAGAAGTAACCGAGAGTGATGTCTACATGGACGCAAATGTCTGATACGTACAAGCTTTTAGTTATAGAAATAACAGTAGTGACAGATGCATGAGGTTCAAAGGCAGGCAGTTGACATAAGGAAGTCCAATCTGTTGTTAAATGTATGAGAATTTTTAAGTATAATCCTGATTGATATAAGAGCAAACATTAAAATACCTATAACAAAAATATTTTTATGGCTCTCTATACCAGATCAACATTTTTAAGGTGATGTTATAGGGGCTCTCAATTGCATTTTTAGTATAAGGTGTGTCATATGTATTTCATTTACATTATGGCAAGATTAAAAACTAACACCATATCATCAACACAATTTGATGATGGTCACTAAGAGAACTTAAAAGGTATTGTGAGTTGCTGCATGCGTACTTCATTAGTAAATAGTGATCAGGATTCTTGTGTTAAAAACGTATTTCTTGTTTTGTCAGTCATTACAATTAAGTGTTGGCAGCCACTAGAATCATTTAGGTAAAGTGTACACTGTATAACACAGGCCCATTTTCATGCTAGAAAAACACTTCAGTGCTATAAAGTTTTGTTTGTTTGTATGTTTTGTTTTGTTTTATTTTGCTTTGTATTTTTCTTATACAATGGAGATAGGCAATCACTGTCTATTGCAAGACAGGGAATTGGAATATATTCATATTGCATTTCTGAACTGTGTTATGCTTCAGAAATCTCTGCACTCTTAATCTCAACTCTTAGATCATTTCTTTCTCTACTTATCTGTATGATAATCCTTTTCTTCCTCAATGTATCAATTCATTCTGTTAACAAATGTTTATCTCATACCTCCTATGCCCCTACTTTATGACTGCCTAGAAGCTATTTTCTGCTGTAGTTTACATTATTTTAGAAATGTAATGCTTGGCTGAATTTTTTTTGTTTGTTTATTTTGCCATGAACCACCATTCACCTCCCCTTCTTCCTTTGTATCTATTCTGACTTCTGTCTAACTAGGATAGGAAGTGGATAGATAGATGTATATTTATTCTTGGGAAAGTTAGAGAATTGGGATATATAACAGCACACATGTGGCCAAAAGCATCTCAATAAAAATAACTACTTTCAAGTTTTACTTGTTTAAAGACAAGAGAATCTGAATGGTACCTGTCAGGATCCGTGTGGCAGCCTGATTCACCATCACTCACAGTATTTCTGTAAGCTACTAAGAACTTCCTTTTTACACAACCTAAGAAATCTAATGGAAAAAACAGAGACCTCATTAAAAGGTGATGTGATCCTAGATCCTGTAAATAACTAGTTGTGTTGCTTTGAATAAATTTTAAAAAATTGAAGTTTATATATTGTACGTGAATACATATACAAATATATACACAATTATAAAATTGATTATATAAATGTATGCAATATGTATTATAATTATATATTGATTGCTTATAATTATGTTACATGTGTAGTTTATATAATTGTGTATATATGATTTTAATATAAGATCTTACCACAAATGTTAATAGCCATTTTCTCACAAAAGATTTTCTTTACGTGGAATTGAAGAAACACTGATTTTTGTTATTATGTTTCCAGAATTCCTCACCTCTTTGGATGAGTAATATAATAGCTTAGAGTTTCTTTACTATAACTCAGCTCTTGGAACCTATTTTTAAAAATAATATACAATTACTCTTTCAACCTGGAAATTCATTTAAATTTCACAAGATTGCCATAACTGTGGTTGATTCTAAAGAATACATGGTTTATATAACCAGATCATATTTGAAAATTAAATAAAACTTAAATTTCATAGAACTCAAACTGCACAGTAATTTCAATTGACTTTTAATGCACACATAATAAGAAACTTGAAAAATGTCATTTAATTTAAGGTAATTTGAATAAAAATGATTATCACTTCAATAAGGTAATATCTGTTTTTTAATTTTATATTTAACATTGTACAAATATCCAAAATTATTAGCTTAACATGTGAAAAGATTGTCATTTTTGAATTGGGGGAAAATAAGGACAGTCACAAGATAAGGCAATCAGAAATCTTTAGTGATTCATTCATTCATTTATGTTGAGGTACATGCAACAATAAAAAATGGAGATAAATCCTGATTTCAAGGAGTTTGCATTCTGAAAAAAGAAAAAAGTTAAAAAGAAAAAAGTTAGTAAAATATGATGTTATATTAAGTTTTTATAAAAATTATGAAGAATGCTAAAGCAAGATGAATTAGTCACAGGGCTTCTTTAAAGAGGATATTTGTGTAGATACCGTAAACTATGTGAAGAAAGTGTTTTTGTGAAGAAAGTGTTTTTCTGGCAGAAGGGCAAAGCAAAGTTCATGATGCAGGGTGAGTTTATCTTATTAAAGAAACAGGAAGGAGGACAGCAGAACTTTTATAGTTTATCACAAATTTGTGAATTATTTTCTTGTATCGTCATATGTTATCTGCATATTGTGTGGATATTAGTGGAGAAGCAACTATCATATAAATACTAGATACTACTTGGAAAGTCAAGAGAATAAGATGGAAAACATTTTTAGGGAGGAATTTACAATATTGTGAGGTGACTATACCAGACAATAGATATTGTGTGCTCCCTAATGTCGGGTAAATTTAATTTAATTTACATAATGTTGCAAGGTATTATATTTGCCAAGGTATTTATATGTGGCATAAAATTTACCTGACACCTGGTTCTGAATCTATATATCTAATTGTGTAAATTTGATCTTGGCTGTGTCATGAGTTTCTGGTACACACACACACACTGATGTCTAACAATTGGTATTACTATGCAGCTAACATATTGCCATTTTTCCTTATAACAGGGTCATGAGCACATTTTTATGTGATTCTTATTATTTCATCTAAACAGGTAGAGCATTAAAATTGGTGTTAGAACAGATGCATCTTCATAATACATAAAACATACTGAACACGTCAATCCCAATTTTACATTTTAGCTTTAGTACAAAAACCTGATTTAAGTTTTTGACCATGAAACTTTGACCAAGAGAACAAAAATAATTCAAAAAATTTCTTTGTGTCTCCATTGTGCTTGTATCTAAATGATATCTCCTGTCACATTCAACTTTAAAATGCCAGACCTATCATCTGTGATTACACATCATAGATGGCATATCACGTTCAGAGAGTCCAAAAATGTAGTCTTATATTTAAACCCAGATTCACTTCTCTAATGTTTTCTGCTTCAGTTTTTGGTACCACCATCCACTTGGTTTCTGATTCCAAAACCTGGGTATAATGTTCAAGTGACAGTATTTGGAGTCAAACACCATAGTTTGAACACCAGCTCTACTCGGTGGCTCTCTGAGTTGGACAAGTTATTTAATGTCATTGTGCTTTACTTTATAATATTAAAGTAATAATCGTACTACTTCATATGGTTATTGTAAGAACTGAACGAACTGATAAAGGTGAAATGACTTAAATAATTTGTATCCACAAGTGTCACCTGTTGTTTTATTATTATTTTTTACCTTTATATTCCTTAACCCAGACCCTTCACATTCAATTTATCACCAAGTTCTCCCATTTCTAACTGCAAAATATTTTGTAACCCCAGTCTCTTGGTTTTCACCTTCTTGGTCAAATCCACCATTATCTACCTTTAAGTTGTAAACTACTCATATTACTGACCTGCTGAATACTGCTTATGGCTTCCCAATAGTCTTAGGAGAAAGATAAACATATTTAATAGCAAAAACATTGTTGACCAACAGGCTTTAGTCTACCTCTTGTCCCTAATACGTCTCTCACTTATTGCTCACTAGGCTCTTTACTACGCACACCTTCCAGTTCTAAGTAGTTAGGGACTCTCTTTTCTGATCATGTCCTTTTTGCTCTTCAAGTCTCAACTTAAACATGATTTTATCCCCAAATACCCACTCTCTCAGCAGACTAACTTGTTCATAGGCTCATGTGGACACTACTCACTTTCTATTCATGGAGTTGTCACTACTCTAATTAAATTTTAGTCTAACTTTTTGTTCATATCTTCCTCAAAGGTAGGGTCACTGAAAAGGAGAATTATACCATTACGATGTATCACTTTATCCTTAACTTTTGGCATATAGCTTCACCATAGTAGATGTTCAATAGGTATTTGCGCCTGGCACTAAGCCCTGTTCTCACTGAAATCACAATTCAGAAAGGAAGCACAGAAAACAAGTGTGAAGAATGTTACGAAGGAGATATACAAAGTGTTTCATGTTGCTCAGTAGGGTGACAGTCCCTCACTTCATCTACGTTGACAGAGAAGACCTCCATAGAGACGCTTTGTACTTTCAAGCTGAGGTTACAGTGGATAAACATTGGCAGGGTGAAAGTGTCAAAGCATGAGGAGGGCAGGTCTAGGGAGCCCCACCTGCCCACTCTCTGGGGCAGGAGCAAGTGCAGTGTCTGCAGGACCGAGACGTACATGGCCAGTTCCTGGAATGACGTCAGTTTGCAGGAAGGTATTTCTTTGATGACACATGTAGTGTAAGCCTTGGGGCTTTCCCATCCTGTTCTGCTCTAAATCGAGACTTCAGAAACTTCCGACACCTCCCATACTGCTCTGTTCTAATCAAGACTTTAGAGACTTTCCGACACCTCTGAGATGAGAAGGAAGATCTTAGTTCACACAATGCTGTGTTGATGACTCAGGATCTGATTCAAATTTAATAAAAACCCTACCAGTAGTAAAAGATATGCCAGTTTTTGCTGTAAGTTTGTATAACACACACACAAGTGCGCACACACACAGAGGTCAGAAAAATTATATACCAAGGCTGGACTTACATTAAAGTGGAACTGTAGCTTTTAACTTTATACACTTCTCCATTTTCACACATTATCCATCCAGCATATCTTTTTGGAATTGTGTGATCATAACTCTTGAAATACATGTAAGTTTTAAGCAGAAATATGTATTTAATTTAATTCACATAACTTGACAAGTATGATTGAGTATGAAAAATGTATCTTTAGTTGATAAATCATCACATTTATGTTTATCTTGGCTAAAGGTGCTGAGGGATGAGCATGATGCTACAATTATGAACTAATATTTGTATACATGTAATCATTTTTATGTAAAGCATGATTTTACTAGGATTTCTCTGCTTCAAGCCATCTCAGCCATGCAAAGGGATAAAAGTTCCAGGGATTCATTTGGCAGCATGTTTCTGAAAGGCTGTTTGGTGCAGCTGCCTTCTATTTGTTTCATCAAGAGACGACACAAAACTACAGTAGATCTTCATGATAAACTGGCAGGAAAAGGCCAAGATAGCTTTATCACATAGCAACTTGACAGTAGGAAATGCTAAACTATTACAGTGTCTCATATCCTATGAACAGAGACGGACTTTCAAGGGATGGCTCTCAAGCTCAAACGTGACTAAGATAAAGCCGCAGGGCCTTGACTTATATTTCAGCCGATAGGAGGAAGATAAAATTAGATACCTTGAAATATATTAATAGTCATTTTCTCAGGAACCCTTTGCTGGTTTGAGCCCAACACTAATCTAAGGAATTAAGCTGTCCTCCTTTGGATGTTGATAAGCACTGAGATCCTCATTGATCACTGGGATTTCCTTTGCTTTCAGGAAAGAGGTTAAATCTGTTTAGAAAGTGTGTGCCCAGGAAAGTCCTGAGACAAACAACTTTATGGAAGAGAAACTGACAGTTTGACATACATTTCCAGAATTTAAAGAGTTGTTGGCTTTTCTTTTGTGCAAATTATGGAGTGGGTGAGAGTGACAGAGGGATGACACCAGCTAAATGGAACCATCATATAGACGGTCAGCCCAGATGCTTATTCACACTGTTCTGCTAACCCCCATATTCAGGAATGCTGCCTCCAATGTAAACATGCATGCTCTTCGCAACTAATTATACTAATTTCACCAATTATTTAATGGCTTTCTGCAGTGAATACTAACCTGAGCAGGAGCACACCAATACTCTGAGTGGTAAATAGAGTATTTTTTAAATCTAAAGGTTATTTGTTAACTACAAGGGGTGAATTAATAAATCACAGTGTGTTAAACCTTCCAGACTTCTTAGGTGTTTGTTTTAGTGGAAGGGAATAATATGTGGGAAAAATAGATTGATGCCCAACTTCACTTCAACTTTAAATTCCTTTTAAAAAGTTGTAAAAGTGTATCTGGTTATCTATTTTGCCTGTAGGGTTTTAGTTTATACTTGATGTTGGGATGAGCAACATTTGTTCATTGACAGGATTTCTATTCATATCTAGTCTCTCCCTGTGCAAAAATGTGTCCTGCATAAGTTAATAAATAAAAAATATGGAACTGACAAAGTCAAAAGTTGGAGAGCAATAAATTTACAATAAAACAAAATATTAAATTTCTGCTTTTATCTGCATGATGTTAAAATTAAGATCTTGTAGAAATGGCTCAAAATCTGTTTGATCTTACTCCTATTCAAATATGCTCTTAATGTGTTAAACTTTAACTTCATGTTAAATAGGTTTCCACTTGTTAATGGCAAACCTTCGTCTTTGGATTTTGGCTAAGAAAGAATTCAGAGCCAAGGCTCCTATACAAGCAAAAGATTTTTAGGAAGTCACAGAGATAGAAGAGGTGATCCATCTCGTCTACATGGACTCAGAAAACAACAAGTTAAAGAGGCAAAAGAAGGGGTCTTGGAGGTTAGGAGAAAGAAAACAAAGGCTTCAGGGAAGAAAGGGGGGAGCTGTGGGTTTGTGAGAGTGAAAGAGAAAAATTATGCTGAGTACTTGTTCTTACCTGGGTTTTACCTGGAGGTCGCGGTGGAGCATCACAGTAGAATATTCATCAGCTTTCCAGATGTGTCCATTCATGGCCATGGTTTCCACTGCTTGGCTGGCACCAGGACAGGGGTCAATAGTCACGGTAACTGTTCCTGATATCATCCATGGCTTTGCCCTGCCTGGCCTTGCTACTTTTCTGGGTTAGTTAAGAGCTGAAACACAACTGAGGTTTAAATGTTAACTCAAGAGCTTAATGCTCAAGGGAGTGGTCCTAGAAGGAAGTTATATAAGGTTATTCTCTGGTTCCCTTGTTTCTCCTCTACAGGCATCTAGAACTACTGAATAAGCAATATGCTAGGGAAGGAAAGGTCACGGGAAGGTCCAAATGGCAAGATCAGTGATATGAAAGACGAGGGGTCTAAAATGCTTGAGGAGCGTTATGCTACAAGGAAAGGTCACCCTGGAGGCAAGGTCCGGCCCTACAACTGTCTCTTGCTGGGCACCTGGGCCTTTCCGCCCCCCGGGACCTTCCATACCTGGCCAAGGTTCCTGCTCTGCTCTTTCTTCTCTAACTGACTGATACATCACAATGAGTTCAAAAACAGTAAAAGACTTTCTGCTAAATTTAAAAATTACACATTTACTTTTATTTTGTTACAATTTTAATTACTTTTATTTTGTTCTCAGTTTTAATTTCTTTAAAAACATCAATAAATACTTTAGAAATAACTTTTAAAAAGAAACAAGTAAAAATATTACTTACATAAAACAACTTAAATGAATTTACTTACTAGTTCAGAACTGGTTTATAAGTATAATTCTTTGTTAACTCCCCAATTCTTGTACTATAAAATTAATAGCAATAATTTACACACTTTCTTTTTACATTTTTAAAACGTTAACATTGCAGATGAGGTACTTAAGCCATTTTATAAAGGAGCAACCTTTAGAACTTAAATATGTATAACTCTTGAGCCAAGCTAAAACACTAAATTATTTTCTTTAAACTGTGCCTGAAAACAATAAGAGACCACAAGTGCTATTTTTAGTTTTAGAAGACAAGGAAGGTCAAGTTGTATTTAAATAACAAATAAAAGTTACCAGAAAGGGAACAAGCCTTTAAAATATGAAATATCTCTAGCTCTATAGTCAAAATCTTCATCCTTCCATATGAGTAATTTTTTTCATCAATGCACATGTAGTGTTTTTTTTTTAACTAAATGTATAGCTTAATAAAATATACTTAATTCTATGATTCTTTCATTCTTTGTTTAAACAACGTGCTGGTATATTACAAAATTATCATTCTATGGAATGCATAGTAGCATATAATGAGACATAAGATGGTTATTCAAATAAATTACAGGCACGTCTGTACCCCAAACTTAATGAGAGTTCATTGCCAGTCACCCATCAGGCCGAGTTTTGTTTTAGCATTACCCGACTACATTATTTTCACCACCCATGTGCTTGTTGTTGGCAATGAGTTCTCATAAATTAGCAATATAAAATAGTACAAGAATAGACTTTATTTTAAAAATAGATGCCACTAATTACAGTGGAAGGAGAATAGTTACGTGAAAATTTCAACTGCACCAACTGCTTCTGGGAAATTGATGAGACAGATTGAGAGGAACAGTCGTCAGTGTGCATGGTTATTTTTTACAATTAAAATCACAAATGTAAAAGGGAACTTATAGTAAAGGAAAATAGTCATTAAATCCAATTGTCACTAATCATTGAGGAAAGCGCAGTAGTATATTCAGTAAATGTTCTAAAGCAGCACCCAGGTTGTCAGAGAGAGAGGGGCAGAGAGAGAGAGAGAGAGGGAAAGAGAGAATATGGATTACTATGAATCACAGAAGAACCAAAAGAACCGATATGATGATTCACAATTATATTGATATTTTACTGTTTGAGCTAAAATAACTCATAGGCATAGTCATATACTATGAGCCACGTGGAATAGAGAAATCTAAATGCCAATTAAAGTACAAAATATGAAAACAAACCTGTAATTCGTGCTGTGTATGATTGCTATCAAGACTATTTCTTCGAGAAGTTCATGAAATAAGTTCTGAGTTATAAGAGGTTCTTAGAAATAGCAAGTGTGCTTTGCTAATCATATTGGAAAGTCAGGTAAGGACAGTTTCACACAGGAACATACTCAAAATTAACACATGTGTAGATTTTAGAATGATTCATAAATTTGTGATTTGTTTTTAGTGATGCCAGCTCATGCTTGGTGATGTGCTAGTGATCATTTCATATTCTCTTACATGCAATCCCCCAAATCATTTGTTTTTACATGGAAAGGATTTCACATCCTAAATGGTACCCTAAATCATAACAGCAGACTCTTTGATTTTTATCATTCCAGTGATGCTTTCAGCAGTCTCTTTTTTTTCTTTCTCTCCAACGTCATAGCTATACGACCCATGTAAATTAGGACTCTGGGATTTAAAACTCAAAATAATTGGCTCTGGCTGGTATGGCTCTGTGGACTGAGTGCCGGCCCAAGAACTAAAGGGTCACTGGTTCAATTCCCACTCAGGTACATGCCTGTGTTGGGGGCCAGGTTCCTGGTTGGAGGTGAGAGAAAGGCAGCCACACATTGATGATTCTCTCCCTTTCTTTCTCCCTCCCTTCCCTTGTCTAAAAGTAAATAAAATAAAATATTTGAAAAAATAAAAAAGTAAAACTCTAGGCCCTGGCTGGTGTAGCTCAGTGGGTTGAGCATGGGCCTGCGAACCACACGATCGCAGTTCGATTCCCAGTCAGGGCACATGCCTGGGTTGCAGGCCGGTTCCCTGCAGGCCAGTTCCCAGCAGGGGATGCACAAAAGGCAACCATACATTGATGTTTCTCTCCCTCTCTCCTTCCCCTCTAAAGATAAATAAATAAAATCTTTAAAAAAAAAAAAGAAAAGAAAAGGCTACCTTCCCTTTCTTGTAAAAAAAAAAGTAAAACTCTAGATATTTGATCAGTATGGCACTACAATGCTAGAAAAATTATTCTGTTGATATGAGTAAAGCAGAAGTTATTGTCAGTGTGAATATGACCTTTTTTATAATATATTGTTTATACATGCATTTCATAGATACACAAACATACATATATACAAAACACTGAAGGCTAACAGAGGCACACACATAGACAGGCACAAGTGCTTTTTTATAACGGCATTTTTGGTCTCAAATATAGAGCTTTGGAAAGGTGCTTAGTGGATATATGTATTGCAGAGTGTCATGATCGCTTTGTTGAGTCCTGACACGCATTAGAAAGATCTGTTTTGTGGGGGGGCATCAGACAGTGAGCTACTCCTGGGCTCTTTGTTTACAAGATTTTCTACTGGATAAAACTGGGAGATGCGCTTTTCCCAGCCAGTCAGATCTTTTAAAGTGGCCACTGCTGCTTTATAGCTCTTCTCCCTCCAAGTGTCTGTGTTGCCGGCTTCCTCACTTCCCAAATGTTCGCACCCATTACCTTCTCTGTGAACTTACATTCCCCGATTCTCCTGCCACCACGTCTGACCTCCCAATCTCATTTTACCTGCTTAGCTTTTCCTAATTTTTAAATCGCTTACCCTCCTTCAAATATGCCATTTAACTTAACTATGCATTATGTTTATTGATTTTTTCCCTTTCTCCCTCAAAGGAAGACCTGTTTTCTGTCTACGGCATCCTCTTATTCCAGAGTACTTAGAAAAAAACAAAACCAAAAACAGCTATTCCATAGTAAGTAATCACTAATATTTCTTGAAAAAAAATGAATGAAAAACATCAAAAGTGATATGCATTTTTAATCTTTTACAAGATGGGAGAGAAAATTCCATCATGTGCTTAGATTTTTAATTTGGTCTATACTCACATTGAACAATGCTTTCATCTTTCATGTAGTCTATTATTAAAATGTTAAGGGACATGCGTTTTCAATGGGAGATTTAGTCATTTTTACTCTCCAGTATTGTACTATTTAAAAACAAAACTAAAAGGCACTTCAGGGTGCTTTTTCCTCCTGTGTGTTCAGCCCTTCATTGTGAGTAACTACTCCCGGTTAAGCAGTCCCTCAGGGGCCACTTAGAGTCACAGGGCTGCCCTCGCAGTCTTTGGGAAAATGAAAGCTTGGTTAAAGACACAACTTTCTTTTATGGCACAATTTGTCGGCTCTTAAGCTGGATCACTCTCTTTGCTGTTTGATATCCTCAACTGAGCAATTTATGACAGATGTTAAGGCCTACTGTCCATTGCAAACAGCGGGTTTTAAAAACTCCATCATCAACATAAGTTTAATGAATAAATGGCTGAAAGCTCAGCAGGTTGGTGGGGGAAGTGCATAGGGGTTTGAGTCTGGCAGCCAGCTTGCTGTTGCTGTAATTAACAATGAAATGTTACATCTCTTGCTTTTTTATGTGGAGACAGGGAAAGCGACTGGGATTATGGAGAGAAATAAATTGACACTGTAGCTTTACAGAGCGTCCACAGCTTTAGCAGCTCAGGAAGTCTCCTAAAGCTGATGCTTTAGGGAGTCTCTCCAGAAAGTATATTTAAAGCTCTAGGCTGAAGATTCCGGACCTTGTAAGAATGAAAAAGGAGAAAAAAAAACATTTTCTTTTATCCCTTCCCTCCTTTCTCCTTGCTTATTTTTTTCTACCCAGCTTCTTATGGAAATATGAAAGATGTATGTAAAGTCTCTCTATTGACTCCCATTGACTGAAAGTCTGTTCCAGTCAATGTCCCAGCCCTCTCAATGGCACAGCCCACTCAGCTCTCCGACAAGGGCAAACGTTCCAATCCCTCTCCCCTTCTCCACTCTTCTGATGGGCCCCACAACCACACCAGTCATCCTAGAAAATATTTTATTATGAAAAGAAACAGCTCTAGGGTTTTCTGAATGAGTGATGCACAGGGCCGCTGATGCCACCGGTAATGGCTTGTGTTTACAGCAAGCTAATAGGTCACAGGTCATCATTTTGAGCCTTGTTCTTTCTCCAAAGCATTGTGTCTGGACACCTTGCTTTTCTCACCTGTGAGAGGTGATGTGGAATCCTGCCATCTTCCAGCTCCCACAATCCGAAGGTGCCATGGGGTGAAAATGGTCGTGCCAGCTTCATGAATTGATGGAAAATAAGTGTAGACACTCAGAATAAGACAAATTATCTGAAGTTAAGGATCTCATAAAATA